GCAAATTTGTGACTGAGATATTGTTTAAGAGCACTAATCTCAGAAACATTATCACCTGTAACAATTAGGTCATCGACATAAATAAGCACCACAAGTTTACCAGATTTGCTCGATCGCACAAATAGGGAGGAATCAGCATTGCTCCGAGAGAAACCAACTCCCTCTAGGACATGACTGAGCTTGGCATACCATGCTCGGGGACTTTGCTTGAGGCCATAAATGGCTTTATGAAGTCTACACACCAGGTCTGGATTGTTTGATTGAGGATGACCCGGAGGGATTTTCATGAAAACTTCTTCTTCTAGTTCCCCATGTAAAAAGGCATTTTTAACATCCATTTGAAAGAGAGGCCATGTATTGTTAATGGCAACAGATAACAGCACCCTCACTGTATTCATCTTTGCCACAGGTGCAAAGGTCTCTTTGTAATCTACTCCATAAGTCTGAGTAAATCCACGAGCAACCAATCGAGCCTTGTGTCTTTCAATTGTGCCATCTGAATGGAACTTGATCTTGTACACCCAATGACTTCCTACAGCCTTCTTTCCTTTAGGAAGCTTCATGATGGTCCAGGTGTTGTTTTCGTGAAGAGCTTGAAGCTCTTCTGCCATAGCAGCTCTCCATTCGCTATGTAATTTAGCTTCTTGAAAGCTTTGAGGTTCATAGGTCTCAGTAACTGTATTGAGGAATGCAGCAAATGAAGGTGACACTTTGCTGTAATTAATAACAGAAGTTAAGGGATGCCTGACACTGTAAGTTACATAATCATTTAACTTGGATGGGAGTCTCCTCTCATGAGAAGGATTTCGACGAACTGTGGGAGGTTGAACCACTGGTAGTTGAGCAGTCTCTTGGTTGGAAGGACTTCTTGAGGGTTCAGATAGGATAAGTTCATCAGGTGCCACTGGTGGTGTGTTCTGCAGGTTGTGAGACTGAGAATGGACCTCATTCAGTGTTTGGTCCCTTATGACACCCGTTGCGTCTTCTTTACATGGATATGGTATTGGAAACAAGTCAAGCATGTTCTCCTCCTCTTGAGAGTAGTCCAGAGGTTAAGTGAAGTAAGGCATTGGTTCCTCAAATCTTACATCTCTTGAAACAACCATTTTCCTAGTTGCGGGATTGTAACATTTGTAACCCTTTTGAGTGGAAGAGTAGCCCAAGAAAACACATTTGGCAGCCCGTGGTTCTAGCTTGTCACATTTTTGTGCTTGAATGTGAACAAAGCATGTACATCCGAACACTCGTAAGTGTGACAAATCAATTTGTCTGCCTTTTAGGATCTCATAGGGTGATTTAAAATTCAAAACCTTACTGGGCAATCTATTGATAAGATATGCAGCAGTAAGAACACCTTGAGACCAGAATTTTTTCGGCACATTCGAGTGAAACATCAGGGCCCTAGTTTTTTCAAGTAGGTCTCTATTCTTCCTTTCTGCTACCCCGTTTTGTTGGGGTGTTCCAACACAACTGGTTTGATGTAGTCTGCCATGTGTGCTTAGATAATGAGACATATTATGGGACATATATTCGGAGCCATTATCTGATCGTAAGACATGAATATTTGAAGCAAATTGAGTGTTTACAAGTCTATGAAAATCTTGAAAAAACTTCCAACACTTCATTTTTAAATTTCAAAAGATATAACCAAGTTATCATTGTGAAATCATCCACAAAGGTTACAAAGTATTTGTATCCGTCAAAGGACTCTAGAACTGGTCCCCAAACATCGGAATGCACGATTTCAAAAGGATTACTAGCCCTAGATAGAGAGGAGGTGAAAGGTAATCTAGTGAATTTAGAAAAATGACACACATCACAAGAACTTGTAACCTTGCACAGGTTTGGAAACAAAAAGGATAGGACTTTATCAGAAGGCTGTGCAAGGCGTCGGTGCCAAAGTTGTTGTTGCTGAATCAGGCTTGAGGTGACTTGAAAAGCCTTGGGAGTTTGAGCATGCTGGAAAAGATAGTAAAGGCCGTTTAGAAAAAAACCTTCACCAATCATCTTCTTGTGGTGATATCCTGAAAAATCACAGTTTTTGGAGAGAAGATGGCAGTACAGTTTAGTGAGTTTGTGATTTTTCCAACAGATAAAAGCTGAAAAGGGAATGAAGAAACATATAGGGCCTCAGACTCGACATTACTAGAGATCAAATGTATTTTTCCTTTCCCTACAACCATGGCACCCTTGCCATTAGCAACTGACACTTGGGATGGACGTGAAAGTTTTTTAAAATCATACAGATTTGTGGACTTGTTGGTCATATGATCAGTGGCTCCTGAATCTATAATCCAATAATCATGCATATTACCTATTTTAAGAGCAGTTGAGAAGGATCATAAGATACCTGGAATATCTTGTTGTGTCACACCTTCTTTCCCAGCCAAAAAACCAGCAAACTGCCCAAGTAGAGCAGCTGGTTTGTTGTCAACATGACTGGTTGATCCTTCATTCTCCCCACCACCTTGTTTCTTGTGAAGGAAGGCAGCAAATTCATTTATCAGCATGGCCGGATTAGAGGTGAACATCTGTGCTTCCTCGGAATGAGAGGTCATGGTATGATTTGCCTTGGGTGATGAGTTGTGTGCTCCTCTAATAAAGCTCTTGTTGCTGTCCCTCGAATGCTTGGGCCTTAGTTCAGGATGGAGAATCCAGCAATGATCTCGTGTATGTCCACCATTATCACAATAGCTACACTTCACAGTGGGTTTCTTTCCTTTATATCTCCTCTCTTCACTAGCCTTGTGATTTGAGAAATATACCCTAAATTCTGGTATATTTGACTTTAATTCCACGGTCATGATTTTTCTGCGAGTTTCTTCCCTTTGGATAGTGGCACACACACTTGAGAAGGAAGGAAGTTCAGGATTCATGAGAACATGACTCCTGAGATCTTCGTATTCAGAGCTCAAACTTGTTAGAAGCTGAAAGATTTTATCTTCCTCAGCTCTCTTGATCAACACGGCAGCGTCAATGGTGTGTGGCCGATAAACATTCAACTCATTCCACATGGTGGTCAACTTGCCAAGATGATGCACAAACGAGTTCCTTTCCTGTTGTAGACTAGCAATATCCTTCTTTAGCTGGAACACTCAAGCTGCGTTATTCTGATTTCCATACATCTCTTTGAGATTTTTCCAGAGAAGGTATGAAGATTCCGCATAACTGAAGATTTCTGCAATCTTTCGATCCATAGAGTTGAGTAGCCATGACATGACCAGCTGATCCTTGCACAACCAATCATTGTAATCGGATGAGGACACATCAGGTGCTGGAATCACACCATTAACATAACCAAGCTTCGATCGTCCTCCTAACGCAAGGGAGACAGCTCTCTCCCACGGGAGATAGTTGAACTCATTTAGTAGGACCGAACTGAGACGTTGATTTGGATTAATATCAACGTCTAGATGAGATGAAGAAGACGCAGCATGCGAGTTTACTTCTTCGCCATGCACGGAGCTCTCTTCAGCCATGATGGAGAAGAAAGGGAAACAGGAAGACGGTACTTAGAAGCAGGTCGATAGAGATCACTGCTCTGATACCATATTGAATTTTGAATGTCTATATATTTTGTATTATGTGAAACAAGTACAAGGAAAGCTCATATAAATGAGCGGAAGAAAGGAAAAGAAACAGAAGCCGAAAACAAGGAAAAGCAAAGCAGAAAACAAGGAAAAGCAAAGCAGAAAACAAGGAAAAGCAAAGCAGAAAACAAGGAAAAGCAAATCCTTGATTTATGGCACTGCAATGTACCATACATACACCCATGCTTGCCGACTAGGATTTAGACTAACCCTAGAACTTCTTCCAATATACAGAGTATAGTTCTGTAGCAGGATGGTGAACTGTACCATTCATAAAATCACAAAAACAAATCACAAGGCCAATGAGACACCAAAAGCTTGGGATTCCCACGCCTACCAATATGCTAAACTTTGCAATTCTTGAGAGACCTGAAAAGACTGAAATTGTAACAGTATCTTCATCAAGAAGTAAAAATCTTGGGGCACCAACTCATGTTTTAACTTTTAAAGCTACACAACTGATCATGTGACATCATTTTATTTGTTTCAATTTGAAGTATCTTCGTTAACTAATATGTTATATATCACATCAATTGGTATTAAAAATATTGGATAAGAATTAATGCATGTAGTGTTAGATCGTCGTCAAGCATAATGATAATAATTAATGTAACAATATTGTTCATAAAATTAACATACAAGAATTTGAAGAACCAAAGCACTTTGTTTGCGAACCACTCTTCAATCCACAATAAAGACCAACTGCTTCGCAAGAAAGATAATCAGGCTTGTCCCATTGCAACTGAACATTTTCCAATGGATCAAATAAACTTGGAACCGATGCTGTTAAGATCACAAAACACCTGCCCCTAGATGATTGGTTAGCCGGTGGCAATAACAAACTTGTCGGTACTGCAACGATCTTGTAGATTTCACTGCCGAGGCAAGAAATGGGTGCGTAAGTCCATGCTGCTACATCTTGAGACGAGCAGTTGAGGAACGTGTAGTTTTCGAGGCCATGCGGATAAAAGAAGGGTGAATCTCTAAGACTGATGTCATGGTCGAGAAACCGCCTAGGGAAACAGTTGTTGGGGTCGTTGATGGATATGATTTGGTGCCTGTAGTTGATGCTCTCAACGATGAACTTCCCGGATAATGGGAGAGTTAGAATGGTTCTCGTTTGGTTGTTGCATGAGAGATCAAACTCTGGATACCCACAAATTGAGAGTTGAAAGTGCTTAGCGGAAACGGGAATCGAATTGGTTGGCTGCCGGCTGTACATTTTGGTATACCACAGGTGGTAGCTGTATGAGGGAGGAGGAACAAGCAGAATAAGATGGTGAAGATTTCTAAGGTAGCCATATGAGCTAGGCGGTGAAAACCAGATTAATATTGGGTACATAATGATTGTAATGCATATAGGATTGTCATTGCATTAAGATTGTCAATGCATTAGGATTGTCATGACAATAAACCAAATAAACCACCCTCGTTTAATTCATCAACTAATTAAAAGCACACATATAGTATTTAGAGTATTAGTATAAAACAAATAACCACCTCTGTCACAACGCCAAACATAATATATACAACCCAAATCACAACGATACCTAAATTATGACAAAATTTAACAAGAAAAAAAATATATAGATCATCAAATTCTATGGTGATGCTAAAGAAAATGTTGATGAAGACACTAAGGAAGAAGGGGTAGCAAGAGATGAGCCCTCCGGTGAATTTCGACAAACGGGGCATGTTGCATTCATTTTAAGCCACTCGTCTATGCAACTAGCATGGAAGTAATGGTTACACTCTGGTATAGTCCTCAACGCTTCCTTGGCCTCGTACTCACTTAGACATATTGAGCATGTGTTGTCGTTGGGCTTGGGCAATCTCTTGCTCTCCCCGAGAAAAGTCTTAGGGTACGATTGAATGGTTGGGCCATCAAGCCCTACCGTGACGAAGGCAGGTTGCCAAGACGCTAAGGTAGAGAGGTCCACAGTTGGTTGGTGGCGACGACCGCAAGCCTTTATCCTGCCGAAGACATAACTTGCGAGTCCAATGATGCATAAGAGTCCGGGTATTCCCACACCTACGATCAAGCCATATTTTGCACTTCTTGGAAGAGCTGAAAGTGAAAGATCAATGGAATTGCAAATGGTTAGTTCATATTCACTTCGTTTTCAATGGAATGGACCTCAATATTAATCTATAACTTTCATTAGTAACTAGATGGCAGATCTGTATCTTTGGAGTTTGACATATATATGTGAACATAATTAAGTTAAGAAAATTACATAAATTTGAATATTTTGCAAAGTACAGGCATTCTTTAAAAGCTTTTTTTTTTTTTTTTTAATTTATAAATCACTTATACCATATAATGTGACTCACTTGTCTATACAGTGTAAAAAAATGATAATGCATTCAAGTCAACACACACAATTTCTTTAAGAGGACATGATCATGACGTTAAAGATTTTGAATCTGTAAGTTGGTAAGCATGGAACTTTCAGTCAAGTTCCGAATAATAATCCAAAATTCAAAGTGGGCACTTTAATTAAAGCCGCCATGCTACAGGCCATTACCTAATGCCACGCAGTGGATTTGCTAATGACCGAAGGACAAGAAATTAGACCCCTCCCCAAGCATTGACTTATTCAATATATATTTACTTGACTAGACACTGTGTCATACGTTCTCTCTTGATCGAGGTTCATTCAACTCAGGGAACGTTGGCATTCTAAGTCACAATAGTCAACAAATTCCTAAACACAGAAAACGTAGAGTAATCTCACATCAAGGTGGATGGAGTTCAAATGGCCGCACATTTTGCTCCATATATAGCACCGATCGAACTAGTCTAGAAAGTTAAAAATAATTACAAGATTGTAGGAAACTCTAATTACAATAAATCAACTAAGTTTAATTAGCCTTGGCTCACTTAACATCATACCACAAATTAATTAGTTTCATGTATCTTTCGTTTTTTAAGTTTTCTTTATTTTGACATGTAAAGTTTATGTCTCTAACAAGGTGTAACTTTCTTATTTTAATTCCTTTCGTATTGCTAAGTTTATAAAAATAAACTAAAAAAAAAAAAAGAGACTTTGGATACGGTCTTTAACTATGAATATTCTTTGATTGAAACCTTATTGGTTTTTAATTTTTTATCGAGGTCCCTGAAATCAATGTGATAATTTATTTCTATGTACGTTTCTATATTTTTTTAAATTAAAAATTAAAAATTTTAGTTGTTTATATAAATGAGATTTTAAATAAACCATAATTTGTGGGATTAAAAATATTAAAATATAAATATAATATTGTGTGTGTTTATATATATATATATATATATATATATATATATATATATATAAACATGGGTACATTCATCAAAATTAATCAAAAAATTATTGTATGTATATTCTTCAAAATCACAAAAAAACAAAAAAAGATATTAGGCTTTAATAACATTAGTAAATTTCTTCAATTGACATGGATACATTTTAAAATCAAAGAAAAAAGAATGTTCCCTTATAAGTTTAAAAATGGATTAAAAAAATGGTACATTTTACATATAACAAAATAAAAAGTTTTATATGAATAGGTACATATAATTAGCATGGGTGCGTTTAGCAAAAATAAAAAGTACAAATATAAAAAATATATGGATCCAAATACAAATAAACTTTAAAAAATATGGGCACAAAAAGAAACTAATATATGGGTACAAATTAAAAATAAAAAGAAAATTGGTACAAATTAAAAAAGAATTACAAATTAAAAAATTGGTACAAACTAAAACTAAAAATGTATGATAAAAAATTTAGTCATAAATATAAATACACTAATGGTAACATTTTTCACATTAAATGAATATATTTAGAAATAGAAAAAATATTATATTATTCAAATAATTAATGATGTTATTAATACCTAAGACCTTGATCAAAAATTAAAAAAAAATAGGATTTTAATCAATGAAATAGTAAAAGAAGGATGAGAACCTAATATATCCTTAAAAAAAAAATTTTTACTGCCAATCTCAATTATATTGTTCGACAAAACTAAACTTGATCAACTATCTAAATCAAAAATTTATAACTCAAAAGAACATATATATCGTACTTAAGTTGTGTATGTATGGTCACCCAACCTTGTAGATTATAACCATAAAATGTGTTTAAAGATGTGTTTAAAGATGTGTTATTAATATAAGCCATGAAAATCAATAATTTTGAAGATTTGTTTAAAGATGAAAGATTTATTAGTATAAGCCATGAAAATCAAGAGTAGGGGTAGCAGCTTAATTATATGCAAGTAACCTATAAAATAGTACATGTAGTGGAGTCATTGGAAAGTTGACCTACCATCCCTCTTAGCCACAGGAATATTCGAGCACACAACCCGATCAGTATCTCCGCTAAACCCACAATCTCCACCGCGGGCTTCACAATCACGACAATCAGGCGTTGACCAAGTCAACCCAACACCACCCACATCCCCAAACATATCCAGCATCTCATTAGCAGCTGTACTCGGAACCAAAACACTCGAAATCACCGGACACAAAGCCTCTGACGGTGACGGTGATGGTGACGGTGACGGCGAAGTTGACGAAGATGACGTTGACTGAAGCCATTCTTCATACGCCCTCGACGGAACAGCAAAGACCGTGTGATTTTCAGTGCTGAGACATGAAATACTCACGGCCATGACGGGTAACGACGTCGCTTGGCTTGTTCGTGCCTGAGAGGAGCAGTTGAGGAAGGTGAGGTTCTTGAAACTTTCTATGTGAAACGGCGTGCCTTGGAGCTTGAAGACGTTGTCTAGGAACCGTTTGGGGAGGCAGCGGTTGGGGTCGTTGATGTAAAGCGTTTGAAACTCGTAATCGATGCGTTGGACTATGAAGTTGTCGGTGGCGGGTGGGAGGCTGAGTGTTGTGATCTGGGTTTGGTTGCTGCACGAGAGGTCAAACCCTGGATTGTACCCACATCGTGAGGGTTGGAGGTTTCGAAGCCGGAAAGGGAATCGGACCGGCGGTCCGACGGGGCAGTTTGATGTAGGGCAGATGGAAGAAACCCTTGTTGTATGGACGAAGAAGATCAAGAAAAGTAAGAATAATGAGAAGAGTTGTACGGTAGCCATTTGATCTGCTACTGCAGGAAGTTGTTTGGTGAAAGCTTTAGCTAGGTAGGCACAGAGTGGTTCATAGCTAGCCTAATGCTATATAAATGTGTGGGTCTTAGAAATAAGGGTAAAATACTGACACGAAGACATAGGTAAATGTGATGATATTTGTACAAACGTAATGTTTATATCAAATGTCATATCGAATTAATTGAAAAAAAAAATAATAGGTTCAGAATTAACAAGAATGAATGAGGCAAAAATATATGTATGAAAATCACTTTCATATATTAATAAAATAGGTTAAGAATTAACATAATCAACACATTTATTAATATATTATTAATATAAATTATGTCACTTCTATCTATACACACATAATCAAATTATAAGATTATAATTTAGAGAGAGACCAAGTTTTTATTTATTTCAAAAATGCACAGAATTTATTTACGTGGCAGGTCAGTTCAATGTCACGATTGATTTTTTTTAGGTAAAGCAAGACCCCTAATATTTAGACCTATTCATTTCATCTTTCAAATAAACTATTTTACTAATAAGAGTCTCAGATAAGATTTATTGTTAAATATATTCGAGGTTGGTCAGGTAAAATGCATACTCATAATATTTTGATCATAATTAGTGTAATAAGTGGACTAGTCCAAATATCTAAGGATATGACAAGAGAATTTAAGTCCTTTGACATTTTAGCATTATGTTGGAAGCAGTTGGACGTCGGAACGTGCATGTGGGTGCCGTGGGAGAATATGTCGTTGACTTCAGAGCTCACACTGTAGACATATTGGGATGGCTTGGAAGAAGTAAGCGTTTGATTATTTGTTATAAAAGACAAACTCAGGAACTTGGGTATGAAGGCATTGAATGTCTTCCAAAATGACACAGAATGAGAGGAAAGTCTAATCTTTACACTTTACCAACACCTAATACTTCTTCTTAATCTTCTTGATTATGAAAGAAAAACTGGAATCGTGACCTTCTGGAATCCTGGATCTTCCAAAAAATTGATTAACAACAAGAAACCTTATTTGACAAGATCAAATCTACTTTAAGAGTATTTTGGATGGTTTTGGAGAAACTAATACATAATATTGAGTAATATAATAATGTCACATCCCAAATGTTTTGGTCAAAAATACCCATTGTTCGAAATAAAAAATTCCTTGGGATTGAAACTGCACATATATGGATCGAGTCAACTTATTTCCTTAATGGGGCACACAATTGGTCACTATTAACTTTATTACTGAATACTATTAATAACTCAACAAATAATTAATGACAATGATTAATATTAGTAAGAAAAAAAACAAAAATAAATGGCAATTTACAGCTAGTTTGGGGTTGCTTAAACTTTTCAAAAGCACCTCCTTAAAAAAGTTGGGAACTTAATTGTGTTTGAGAAATTTAAAAAAAAAAAAGTGTTATTTTTCACAATCATTGGTCCAAAACTGCAGAAAGCAGAAGAAGCTCTACACATGCTTCTTAAAAAGTGCTTAACAAATAATTAAAGACAATGATTAATATTAGTAAGAGAAAAAAAATAGATGGCAATTTACGGCTAGTTTGGGGTTGCTTAAACTTTTGAAAAGCACCTCGTTAAAAAAGTTGGGGACTTAATTATGTTTGATAATTTTTTTTTTTTTTTAAAAAGGTCATATTTTCACAATCATTGGTCCAAAACAATTGAAAGCAAGAAAAAGCTCTACACATGTTTCTTAAAAAGCGTTTTTTTTCATTATAGGCAGGTGAACAATACCTATTGATGAAACTTTCATATTGACAATCATACCCCTATCTTTTTCTTACTAAAAGCACTTTAGCACTATAGTTTACTAAACACTTCCCTTTTATCACAGTTGTTTATTATCACAACACAATAGAAACGGTGTTGAAAAAAGCACAGCAACCCCGAACTGGCACCCATGAGTGATTTATCAAGTTATGTTTAATTTTCAAAAGTCTTACCTTTTTGTTTTGATTCTAAAATATTTTGATGTTTTTTTTTATTCTAAAGGCATTAGTCACGTACGAGGCTACTTTCACACCCCTAAGACTTACCCCAACCCTTAGAGTAAAACTCAAAATTTAAGTTATAAACTTACTCCAACTTGTTCCAACCCTTAGGATAAATATGAGTTTTAACCCAAAACTCATTTCTTGGGCAAATTTAGCCCAAGATTCTCCCTGTGTTAGTGGAGATGGCCCACCATATATGTGTATTTTTTTCAGTTTTATATTTATAAATTCATTTAATCCAACGGCTAAGATCTAATAAGATCAAATTCAATGGTAAAACTAACGGTTCAAATTTAAAATCTAAGGGCTAAAGTAATTAAAAAAAAATTATTTTATGTGTTTCATATTCATTCATAGTGTTCCACGAGTTTCATAGTGTCAATTAGAGATTCTTCAATATTTATCGGAATTTAAATATTTTTAGGTTTAAATGTCTATAAAATTAAATTAGGATAGTCCATAATCTTTTTTTTTAAGTTCTTTTATGACAAAATTATCCTAAATTCATTCTTTAATACTCTTGGGTTGAAGAAGAAAAACTATATCTAGACTGAAACCAAAATTTTCTAAGCTAAAAATTTTCTGAGTGAAATGTCATGGCGTGGAGTTTGGCCGTGAAATCCATGCCATGGGCATCCATGTTGGCGGCAGGGCGCACCAACGAAATTGACAAGGTCAGGGATCGAGGTCTCCAGGCTTCGGTAGCATGGAGGCATTCTAGCAATGTATGTTCCATGATCAGTAGGACATGGAGTTGGCAGACGAGAAGAGTGGAGGTCATAATTGTGCGTGCATGGCGTTGTTAGATGACATTAAGGAATGCTTTGGTAGGATTGAATACACTTTGGATTTTAAGAATTTGCACGAACTCCTCTAATTAAATTTATGTTTGCAAGTATAGTAATTCCTATATATGCATGCAGCGTTATCCAATTCTGATTTGGCCAATGCCTGGCTTAATTAATCCTTTTGAAGTACGCAGAAATGGACCTCAGTAATAAAAAATGAGAAGAAAAAAAAAATTGTGGCAATTGAAAGTCCGCATAATAAAACAGAAAAAATTCATACCATTGACAAAAACACAAATATTTTTTGTTAATTGATAGTTGTTTGGTTGGATAAGATATTGAAGTCGCTTACATGACTTCTAATAACACCGATATATATATATATATATATATGTTGTAAAACTGACGGTGTGTGCAGTGGAATAAATAAACAAGGCACAAAATTTACGAGGTTTCACTATAGTCAGTGTGACTGGAGTACGTCCTCGGGGCAGCATTGATGCTTTCATTATAATCTGGAATAATAAGATTACAAAGATAACTCTTTCTATTATCTCCTCTCTTCTTCCTCTCTTTTTTATGTCTATCTGTGTATATTTGCTCTCCTTCTTCTCATCCATTTTATAGACAAAGCTTCAGACAAAGTTGTGGTGGGATGAATAGTGGATTGGTAGTGGGATAGGTGGCCATCCACAATGAATAGCTTGTGAATTACAATACTCCCATTTGAATGGTCACAAGTCTTCAATTGACTTGTTAAAATCTTGATTTGTTTTGGATGCTCGCCATGATGAGTATCTCCCCCTGATTTCAAATTATTTAGGTTGATCATTGATCCTTCTGCTTTAGTCTCTTAGCGGGAAGAATTGCCGACTGAGGTGTTTTACTTGTTGTTAACTTTCCACATGCTTTTTCTTGAACTGGGCTGTAAGACTTTCTGCTAGACTTGCACCAAAGGTCTGAATTCACTCCTTTTATCTGGAGCGGAATTTGATTCAAGGGTGGTAGACACTTGATCTTGAATCAAACTTGTGACTTCTTCAAGATCCTTGGGAATTGTTCTTGAATGAAATGGAATCACGAGCAGCTCCACATGACAAGTAATCTTCGGCTCCGTCGGGGATGAATCAATTCGTGTTTTGTTGTGCTTGTCTCCACATGCTTCAATGTATCATTTTCGTTTGCCTTATCTGTTCCCCTTGCAAAAATGGTATTTTCCCTATGCAGGTTTGGCATCTTCTCTTGCAGTATTTGTCATTTGATGCAAGAGTGGAGTGCAAACCTTGCATTTGAAAGGTCCTTCAGAACATCACTTCTCAGCGACTCATCATGCTTGGCAGCTCCAATCATCATATCAGCAGTTTGAAAATGAGTACTCGAGAGCAATGCTAGGTAAACAATTATGAAAGTTTCTAGGCAATCGGTTCCTAACTGGAAATTTGATTTCAAGTTCCGACTGATTGCTTTCTTTCTCCCTAGTCCTCCAAGTGAGAATAAGGACAAAGAAAAAGATATGGAGATTGTATGATATGAGATATTTTTGCTCTCGTCCCTGATGATATGAGATATTCTTGCTTTGGCGTGACTTTTTTGAAGAGGTATTCTCGGAAAGGAAAAAAACTGAGTATTTCGAGATGCTTTGTTAAAGATGCATTATTGGAGATGAAGAAAAGTTAGATATTGGGATGCATTGACTTCAGAGCTCACACTGTATACATATTGGGATGGCTTGGAAGAAGTAAGCGTTTGATTATTTGATATAAAAGACAAACTCAGGAAGTTGGGTATGAAGGCATTGAATGTCTTTCAAAATGACATGGAGTGAGAGGAAAGTCTAATCTTTACACTTTACCAACACCTAATACTTCTTCTTAATCTTCTTGATTATGAAAGAAAACTGGAATCATGACCTTCTGGAATCCTGGATCTTCCAAAAAATTGATTAACAACAAGAAACCATATTTGACAAGATCAAATCTACTTTAAGAATATTTTGGATGGTTTTGGAGAAACTAATACATAATATTGAGTAATATAATAATGTCACATCCCAAATGTTTTGGGCAAAAATACCCATTGCTCTAAATAAAAAATCCCATGGGATTGAAACTGCACATATATGGATAGAGTCAACTTATTTCATTAATGGGGCACACAATTGGTCACTATCAACTTTATTACTGAATACTATTAATAACTCAACAAATAATTAACGGCAATGATTAATATTAGTAAGAAGAAAAAAAAACAAAAATAAATGCCATTTACAGCTAGTTTGAGA